CTGTTTTCCATCAGGGGGCACTGTGGCAGCCTGAGTCCTCATTTTTTAGGATCTATTTCTTTTCTTTCTGATGTACCTAAATTATAAAGACTTTTTAGGACAGTACGTTTACAGTTGTCCGTAACAACTGAGTAGTAAATTTAGCCTCCTAATTACTTTTCTGTATTTTGCCTTAATAATAGTAGTTAACATTTTCTGAGTGTTTATACATGCCAGGAGTTATTCTAAGTTCTTTAGGTATATTAATTTATTTAGTCTTCATTTAAGTAATGAATTCTATGAGTCAAATGCTATTATCTCCATTTTACAGAGTAGAAACCCAGGTACCGTGTTAAGCAACTCCTCCAAGTCACACAGTAATAAATGGGGACCTCACACATTGAATCAAAGTGCTCACACGTTAGATTTTTAAACTAAAAATATTCTGTTAATAAAAAGGAAAGCCATATGAAATAATACTATCTGTTTAGCACTTGATTCTCTTTGAAATAAAACTCATAAACTTTTTATAGCCCTCTGTATGTTCCAAGCCTGTTTTAAGCCCTTGACACATACATTAATTCATTTAATGTTCATTCCAGTCCATTGTACAGAAGAGGAAACTGAGCCATAGAGGCTAAGTAGATTGCCCATGGTCACCCAGCAAGTACATGATAGAAAGTCTGGGTGAAGAGAAAAACCGAACCCTCACGCAAGCTATTGCAATTATTTTCGTATTCTTGTCCTGTCGCTGCTGTGTGCCTCTGCACAAATTGTTCCATCTTTCTACTTCTTAGCAACCTCATTTATAAATAAAGGGGGAGGGGATTCCATGAGCTCCAAGACCGCTTCAAACAGTCCTGTAGATGGGAACATGTGTAAGGTCACACAGGAAAAAAAAAAAAAAAAAAGCTTTTGCCCAGTTCAAAGACTTAAAGGCAGACTCCAGCTTTTTTTCTTGTGCACGTCTCTGTATAGCTCTAAGAACTGTCTCTGGAAAAGGACCTACCAGGTTGCTAAGAAGGTAGAAAGTATTATGATGGTCTCCAGAAACGCCAATTTCAGCTCAGCATCTGCCAACACGTCCAGATGATCCTCCAAACTCTCTATAAATCCCGGCTCCACCATTTACCAGCTGTTTAACCCCGGGCAAGTATTCCATCATTCTGACCTCAGTGTCTTCCTCTGTAAGATGGGGACAATAATCATTCTACTTTAATGAAGTTGCTGTGGGATCAGTGGAGATAATATGTACATAAAGCACGTAGAACAGCCCCCAGTGAGCGCTGAGTACAATTTAGCATTCCCATTGCAGATCTCTGTTCCTAGGAAAGGGAGGATGTGAATTACTGTGGTCGCGATCCAGGGGTCTTCTGAGGTCTGACGAAAGCCCGGGCTCCTCTCAAGATTTGGAAAATTGAACTTCTTCAGAAAAAAATCGTAAATAATCCAGTTAAATTACTCAATGGTTAAGACAGATACTCCTTGATACTGAACTAAATTGGTTTACTGAAGTTATATAATTTCAGAGTGTTTGTGTCTATGAGATCAATGCGAGATGGAAGTTTTTATTTAACCTGCTTAATATAACTAGACAATATAGTTAACCAAACCAAAAACCAAACCCACTGCCTTCAAGTCAATTCCGACCCATAGTGGCCTTATCGGATAGAGTAGGACTGCCCCATGGGGTTTCCAAGGCTATAATCTTTACAGAAACAGACTGCCACCTCTTTCCCCCCGAGGAGCGGCTGGTGAGTTCGAACCACTGACCTTCTGGTTAGCAGCTGAGCACTTAACCACTGCACCACTAGGGCTCCTTGGCGATATATAGTTAAGTCTAGTCAATTGGTTGAACTAATTTTCTAAAGTTTGTAAGGGAAATTCTGTCTTCTCCCCTTTAGTTAAGCTAAGAGACAGCGGTTTTATTATTTGCTAAATGTCATACAGTAAATTTTCTGAGGATCAGAAACAGCAATTTAGACACCAGAGCTTGTTTTTCCTTTTAAATAACTCATAAATGTTTTCAGCATATAAATTATCCAGTATACAAGGGAATATGGAAGAAAAACTAGAGACATTTGAAATGTTTTCAAGATGTGATAAAGCACATGGGACTGTTGAAATCTAACACTACCTATGCCCTGGTGGCGCAGAGGTTAAGCGCTCGGCTGCTAACCAAAAGGTTGACAGTTGGAACCCACCCAGCAGCTCTGGAGGAGAAAGACCAGGCAATCTGCTCCTGTAAAGACTAAAGATTGTAGCCAAGAAAACCCTAGGGGGCAGTTCTACTCTGTCACATGGGGTCGCTATGAGTCGAAAACAACTCAACAGCACCCAACAGCAACACTCACAGGTGGGAGCATTACACTTACTTGTCACTCATACTAGCAGAAGCTCACTTTTGCTTACACCAAAAAACCACATCCGTTGCCATCAAGTTGACTCCAGCTCATACAGACACTAGGCCCCACTGGGTTTCCAACGCTGTAATCTTTACAGGAGGAGACTGCAACATTCTTCTCCTTTGGAGCAGCTGCTGGGTTTGAACTGCCGACCTTTCAGTTAGAGCCAAGCTCTCTAACCACAGCACCCCCAGGGCTCCTTCTTTTGCTATACAGAAAAGGTAAATAAATGAATTCACAGCCTTTAAGGGTTACTAGCTTAATGCGGATCCAGTCTGGGAATACATTAGGTCCCATTAATTTCAATGAGTCCTGGTTAGGAGCTATGGCTGCTAACCAAACGGTGGGCAGTTCAAATCCACCAGCTGCTGCTTGGAAACCCTATGGGGCAGTTCTACTCTGACCTATAGGGTCACTAATAGTAGGAATCAACTCGATGGTAATCGGTTTTTTGTGTGTATGTGTATTAATTACAAAATGTTACACTAAATGGTAGTTTACAAAGTGAATTCTTTCTTTTCAAAGTGCTGTACAAACGTGATATGATTATATCCAGGACAAAACAAACACCCTGAATTTAAGTTAAGCTTTTAGGACTAAAGGGGATCATAGAGATTATATTCTCCGCCAGAGGCCTAGAGGCATAAAAGCGATTTGTCTACTATTATGTAGACAAGTGGATATTCCAGATTTTAGCCTAGGCTTTCTTGAGCTTGGGTTGAGGGAAGGCCCTTTCCTCTACAGCACGCAGACAACATATTACGATGATAATAGTAAGTACAATAACCATTTATTGAGTGCATACTCTGGGCCCAGCATTTTGCTAGGCTCTGGACACCCACCCCCTACCCTGCTCTGTTTCCTTCATAAGTCTATGAGGTATGTATAGCCAAACCAAACTCGTTGCCATGAAGCCAATTCTGACTTACGGCAGCCCTACAGGACAGAGTAGAACTGTCCCATAGGGTTTCCAAGGAGCGGCTGGTGGATTCGAACCGCCCACCTACCTTCTGGTTAGCAGCCAAGCTCTTAACACTGCATCACCAGGACACTGAGGCCTTTACAGATAGGATGACTGAGACCCAGAGTTTGTGACTTGTTCAAGAATACCCAGCTGGCAAAGGCCAAGAGCTGGGGTCCAGTCTCAGTTCTGAATCTGCACTCTCTCCACTATACCCACGTGGACCAATACCACCACATACTCGGCTGGACTTTTCCTTGAAAGTCAGTATTTTAACCTCCTGCACTGAAAGCCTCATCTGCTTGTAGCAGCAGAACCTGAACCCCGAATGGCCTAAGAAAGCACCTATATCCACTCCCCAGATTCCCAGCTCAGAGAGGAGGATGCAATCATAATCGTAAATTAGGTATCTTGCATACAGTTCTTGAAAACTAGTTCGAAGACTTTTAATAAAATCAAGTGTAAACAATCTACCAAATTTTTAGAACACTATCTTCTGGCCTGTGTAGGCTATAGGTTTAAGAGTATGGACTTAAAATCAAACAGACACAAGAGGGTGGGGAGGGAATATAAAGCCTGGTGCTCTGCAAATTAATATTTTGAGGTAAACTAGACGTTTTATAGAAAACTATTTATTTGATGTTTTCATTCTATTTGAAGGAGAAACTCCCAAGTGTTAAATACGACCCTATATTTTAAAAAATACTGAAAATTAATTGAGTGATGATGGGCTGAGCACTTTGGGGGAAGAGACCTGTAGTCAAAGTGGCGATGTCACTGAAAAATATTTTAGACTCCCCAAGTGAACTCTTAAAAATTTTGATGTGCTTTAGAGGCATTATTTTCAAGGCAAAATGAGGCAATATTATGTTTAACTGTTTGGAAACTTTTTTTTATTAAAAATATGTTTAATATTAATGCTATTTTCAATACAGGTGAGATAATACTCAATAAAGCATCATGTACTTGATATTGTGAACTTAGGAATATAACAGTCCTTCTGGATCCTGGTCCCCTTCAGCCTCCCCAAACACCCTCTTAAAAAATCAAGAGGCCTTTGGGCGTTGTGAGAGCAGCGTGGGGTGGGGGCGAGGGGCAAGGAGAGAGTGCTTTCCTGACATACTCGTGCCTTTGGCTTTGACTTCATTTAGTAAGCCAGTCCTAAGAGAACTGAGACACACCTCTCTAGGCTCCGCAAACGGAGGGACAGAAAAGCCTGTCATTCATAAGCAGCTACGCACAAAACCAGCATCAGAATACAGGGGCTGGGGGAATCAGGGCTGAGAAATAAAAGTCGGAGTAAAGTGCACAGTTACTGTCAAAAATATATACTTTTGGTCCTAAGAAAATTAAGAGAATTTTATCTAAGGAACTAGATTGCTGACCTTTTAATACATTTGGTTTTCATGGAACATACAATCACCATCGGACATAAAAGTCTAGTTTGCTTTGTTTTTAAAAATTGCTTGGAGTTATCTACAGGAATCTTGTGAACGCAATTCAAGGATAACATTCTGCAGCTCTTTGGGTATTGTAGGATTTCCTCAGATAGTCCACAGAGGAGCGAGGGAACTGTTAAAGCACTGATTCAAGCGGGCGTTCCCCATGCCCTCTTTCTCCCTCTTATCTCTGCTCCCGGCCCTCGCGACCCTTCCCTAGATACCAGCGCTTTCCAGATTTCCGTCTTCGACTCCTACAGCGTGACACCGGGAAATCAGTAAGAGTTTCTCCTTGTTTGTAAACTGCTTCTGGACCGGCTGAGCTTGTTCTACCGCGGGAGGCTTTGGGCTGGGATCTTCCGGGGGGCTTCGCTCCACACCCGGGGAGGCGCCGGCCACACGGCCTTGGCTTTTACTGGCCCCTGCGTCCACCACCGACTCCGCGGAAGGACCGGCCTCCCGCAGGGGGGTGTAGCCCTTATTGCTGCTGGCCGGGTCACCCGACTGGGAGCTCTGCGAGTCCCGCCTGGCGGGGGCCGAGTCCGCCGGCCCTAAGGGAGGCCAGGGGGAGGCGGATCTGGCCAAAAGGCTCGTGTCCGGGTCCGCGCTGCGCGGGGCGGCCGGGGGCTCCGGCGACGGCGACGCCCGGTAGTCTGGGAGCCCGCTGGTGCTGCGGCGCCGCGG